AATCCTCTAGTTTAGTGTACCAGATAGTTGCCACATCCGATAGAGCTCCTCCGAGCAAAGACAGTTTCTAAGCCCGAGTCAAGCCCATTGGCCTCAGAACATCCAAAAACAGGCAAACATGAACAATAAGGTCCTTACTACCATCAAATTTATCAATATGAGGCATCTTGAATTTTTTCGGCAGTCTGACCGAAGCCTCGGTGTAACCATCTTCACTATCAGGAATGGAATTGAAGCCTTGGGATTTTTTAAGTGCTTTCTCCAGCCTAGCAATTCTGATCATGGCTGGATCAATATCGTTGATGTCAAAGGAAAGGAGTCCCCCATGGGGCTATGCTAGAGGCCTGTAAGCTAGAGCCTGTGCAAACATTTCTTGAGGATCTGGGACTTGAGGATTTTCAACTAGTGGAGGTGGGTCAAGATTCGGCTGGCCAGCCGGGACCAGATGTACAGTAGATACAGAGGCCCGAGATGGGCATCGAATGTTAGTGATAGTTTCATCATGAGCGGTTATCTTTTGATTCAAGGTGTCCATGGTTCGCTAGAAGGCTGCCATCATAGCGGTCACCTCTTCTGCACTCTAAGCTATTATAGGTTTGGGAGAGTTAGATGCCAGTGAACTGATTTGGTGAGATCGGACAGGTGATTACTAGGCAATCTGTGTTGGTGCTGATAACTTCCTGTTTCTTCTTCGGTGCACAACTGGTGAGAGCGAGACTAACACTGGCTGATCACTGACAAGGTCTTGGGTTTTGCAAAGTCTGCCAGAGCGAGTCCACAAAACTTGGGAAATATCAGGTCTATCTGAAGCTATGATTGTAAACTACCTAGCAAAAGAAAGAAAAGAAAAACAACAATAAAAAAAATTGGATAGCACTTCGGCCCAATTTGCAACAGATATAATCACAGCTGAAACACTGTATTTCTCACTGAACTCTGCCCTCAAAACTGATATCGACTTGTACAGCTGATATGAACATTCCTGTACAGTTTCACTGTAAAACACATACTAGGAAAAAGAGAGCCAAAACACCCCTATGGAGGGGGGGGGGTGTAAGGTTATCCTGTCCTAATTTTGTTATGAACTAGGATTTTATTACCTCAAGCAAGTAGTTTCACAACATTCTGTATATGGGTGGCATCCTGTCCTAATTTGGAATCGTCACTATGGCTTTATTATATGCAGCTAGGCCAAATGGTCGAACGGGTACCTCAGCAAGATTACTTAATATACCTCTCACACCCAACACTGAGAAGTAAAAGGAGGATCAAATGGTACAATGATAATCCAAATCCAAGGGTTGTGATCCAAGGGTTGTGTTTCCAATATGGCAGAGCCCATAACCGGTCAGCCTTTTGGCAAGCTTTTGGGTAAGCCTCCGGCAAACCGTCCAAGAATAGCAGATGGAAAACACAGTGACTTAAAGTAACAATGAAAATGCAATGCAAAGAACATATAAGTGTTGATAAAAATTTACATTATGAAGTTCGAGTCAAGTTCTCTAAATCCCCAGCAGAGTCGCCAGAAACTGTAGCTTACTTTTCGTACTCCTCGAAGGGGTTCAGTCTCCTCACATATGATAGCCCTACAATTCAGATTCCCGTAGTTCTGAATCTGATTTCATAAGTGCAATGTGAAATAGATAAACACAAATGAGTCCAAATCCAACAAATCTTTTGGAAAATCAATTTTGAATCAAAATGCCAAAAACGGACCGCTTTGCCAGATTTCAGAGTCACCACCTAAATATTTTTGGAAAATATAGGAAACCCATGACTCGTGCTAAAGGCTATTAGTCCGTCATCACCAAAGTGTCTCAGCTCGAGAACTTGGTTATGAGAGGGGAAGGTCATGAATTGAGAACCCACTCACCTAATCAAAGATCAGCCTCTACTAATCATGATGTGATTTTTAGTTACATTATATGCTCTTGTTCCGATTATTAGGCTATCTTTACTATATAATACATGCAAGTATAGACTAATTCACAAAATTTGGAACACTTTGATTTCATGTTTGTTTGGAAAAGTGCTTGAATATATGCCACTTGAAAAAAAGATTTCCTATGTACATTGATCAAATCATCCCAATTTAAGCGAAAAGCCTCCATTCACAGGCATTCAAACAGGTATATCAACTAAGCACTTAGCCTCATGGTAAACATGCTTGACATGGCAACAATTACACTCATGCAATATGCCAAAGCGAAAAAGTGGTTACCCCAAATAGCCGAGGCGAGCCAAAAGAAAGAAAATAGTTAGAAAAATGTATGTTCCTAACGATGAAATACTTAATGCAACACATGCAATATGCAATTAATAGGCTCGGCTACTAGCATGGCATGTGAGTCAATTCAGGACATGCGACGATGCACGAATTTGAGTATGGAATTTGGAATTGACATTTGATTAGTATGATGAGCTGAACCTTTATCCATGCAAAATGAATGAATGCAAGTCATGGAAAATGTTAAGGAAAACATGATGTTACATGCCATCCATCATGAGCGATTAAATAAAAGGGATAAAGAAATGGGGATTGGAAGACATATACAATATTACAAGTTTGCCCTTGCGCAGGAGGGTCCGAATGTCCAAGTGTCCGAATCAACTACTTATTAAAAAACCAAATGAATGAATAAGCTAGATTAACTAATTATTACAATTTGAATGAATCTAATTGATTAATTACAACATGGAATGAATTAACTAAGTAACTAATTAATTAATGAACTTGCTATTACAAGCTTCGAATAAATCTACCAATTTAACACTAATTGCATGAGCCATGAGGAGTAAATAATTGCGTATGCATGGACGGGACTATCCAACCGAAAATGCCTTTGTTTTGTTGCCAGAATTGTTTTGTTTTGCTGGCAGAAGAATAATCTATTTTTTACCCCTGCCTCTACTTTGTTCTGTTACAAAGATAGTTCTATCTGTATAAAATAAAGTGGTCGGTCAGCAAGATAAAGTGGTCGGCCGGATGGACAGGTAGCCAACCACTATTTTGGGGGTTTGCCCTGCTATAACAGAAAGGAAACATAGTACAAACAGAGTGTTTCTAGGCGATGTTTGTCCTTTCTGCCTCTTCCTGTCGTGGGACTGATTAAGGGAGAGGTAGGCTCGATTCGCAAATCATCAATTGACGCAAACTTGTTGCGTGATGATCGAAAAATCGATAGGACAAAGTCTTAATAAATGGAAAGTAAAGACCAACAAAACCTCCTCCCTATCATGGAGTTACCTCAAGGGAGGTGGTAAACATTGATTGTTGAGCTATTATCATCACTAGAGAGTATGAAATGGCTCAAGATTCAATGGGTTCAATTAACGTCTGATTGAACCTAACTTGACTTTATTCTCTTGTTACCATTTTAGTCCAATTTTATTAGCCTTTTTTAATTACCTTTCCATTCTCTAATCATTTTAGTCTAAAGAGTGATAGTTAAGTCCACTAATGAAGAGAAGTGTCAAACAAGAAATTGTTCTTGGCGTGAGAGAGATGTAATGTCTTAGTAATGAACCTCCGAAGAGATTAAATCATTAAACATGGAAGGGTCTCTTTCATGTGCCTTCAACAACATTCGTTTAAAACAACTCTCAAACAAATAAAACCAAGAAAGGAGCGAGAGTGCAGAGATGGTTATTGCAAGTGTGAACACATGTATGAAAAGTATAAAATAAAAGCTATCAACTCAAATAGGTTGGTATCTAAGGCCTAAACCACCAAACCTATGAGGACTACAACACTGCAAGCATACTATACAAAGCATAAATGAAATAAACACACTAAAACAATCCTAAAACTGTAAAAAATAGTGCTGGAATTAGTATGAAAAAGCTAGAAAATGTGAAGCAAAATAATAGAGAAATGAAGCTAGTCAGCAAGCCTAAGGAAGGGTGGATAACCCCTCAATTTTTTGGGACTTCAAAACTACATTTTTAACCTCTGAAAAATAGTGGTAAAAAAGTTGGAAAAGAGTTGAGAAAGAAGTGGGAAACACAAGGGCAAAAGCTTAGAAAACAAGGTTCAAAAGAATGGTGGTTAATCCCTCCACCTTTGATAGCTTTAAGCCACAAGTTTCAGCCCATAAAAAATAGTGTAAAACTAATACATGAATAACAAGAAAAGATAGGGGAGAAGTAGTGTAAGGAAGGTCAAGGTTATACCTGTTAAAGAGAAGTCAGTCTTTGATTCACAAACTCACAAGTATGCACCCTCAAGAGCTGATATTTAGACTCAAGAATCTTAGCAAAGAGAGATAAAATATTGGTTTAGGTAGGTAATGTGTATGTGTGTTGCGAGAGAGAGAGAGAGAGAGAGAGAGAGAGAGAGAGAGATATTTTCAAGAATTTGAACTTTTGGAATTTTTTCTAACCTAAAAACATAAGGTATGGTCCTCTATATATAGAAAAACTAGTGCCTCAGTTAGAAATATCTATATTGAGCTAGCTGGTGCAGTGTATGCACATGGGGGAACAGTTGGCAGCAAAGTATCTGCCAGTTAAGAAACCTGGCCGGCCGGCCAGCCAGCCAAGTGGGGGACGGCTGGGCACTAATTTTTGGCCAACCGACCACTTGTTGGCCAGTAGGCCTCTAGGTGTGGTCAGGCTTGGAAAAAATTAGGTTTTTGTCCAAAGGTGGTGCAAGGTTTGAGGCTCTGAAACTCAAGAACCGAGGCTTCTTGCTTAGAAAACTGAGCGTATGTATAACATAGTATTTTATCATTGGGTCATCAACCTGAGGCATCCAAGTCTTAAGGGCAGTCAAAAATGGGGTGTCTACACAACCCTTGCCTCCACAAGCCCCTCTATGACCTTCTGCCCAGCCTTCTTGCCAACATTCTGAACATCTCCTTGTTCTTCGGCTCTTCTATCATCTAAATGAATCTTTTGGCAGGGTGATTACTATTCACTATGACAAAGCACTACTTTGACATGATCTAATCTCTTAAGACCTCTTGGATTACCCCGGCTTCATTTGGAAACTACACTCCCTAATGCTTTGTCGATGTTATGGCTCGCATGGCGTGCAACCATACTCTTCTAAGAATAATGTGGTAAGTGGAAAGGAGCTTTAAAGCACAAAACTCTACTTGCTTGACCACCGAGCCCTCTTTGACTGGCAGATTGATCTTGTCAACTAGCCATTCAGTCATAGAGTTAAAGCCCACCAAAGGAGTCATGGCCGGAACTAAGTCTCCTTTATCTAACTTCAACAGGTTAAAAGTGTCGTAATATCTGATCTCGCATAAGCCGCCCTGGTCGATCAAAATCCTCTTAATGTCAAAATTCTTAAAGACCAAAGTAACCACTAGCACATCGTTATGGGGGTTCTGCAACCCTATTAAATCTTTGTTAGTCAATGAAATCACATTCCTAGCCTTTGTCTTCCCCTTCTTGAACGTTGGTTGAACACTGAATACCTCTTTCATGTGCTCGGCCTTCTTTATCATTTCCCTAAGCTGACAAACTTGGTTAGGCTCGATGATCCCATGGATTACGTTAATCACACCTTGAGGTGGACCATCAAGTGTCATTCCGTCTACCATGTTCTTGTCTTGAGTAGCTGGCGAGCTCCACTTTCAATATAATAGTCTAGGTGGCTCGCAGCCACCAATCCCTCTAAGTGTTTTTTCACTGGTATGCAATCCTCTATTCAGTGTCCCTTCTCATCATGGTAGGTGCATCGATACCTCTCATCATAGCCCCTTTGTGTTTCGTCAAACTTAACTAGCTATCGGACAAATGGCTCATCACAAATTTTGTTAAGGATGTGGTAGATGGGTTTCTTGAACACCGTAGTGCTAACGCTGTGGACCTTTAATTTCCTCACCTTGTTCTCTTCACCAGTCAGGGTTGGGCCTCCCTGGTTGTTATCACTGCTTATGTAGCTTTGCTTTTCATTCTTGCCAGTTGTGTTAACTTTGGTAGAAGTTTTTTTGTCCGACACTACTGTTGTGTTGGTCTTTGCCTTTGCCTAGGTGACATCTTTTTCCACCTTGATATATTGGTGGACCCTTTTTATCAGTGACCCCGTGGTCAGGCTCCAACTGGTAGATAGCGTTTATATTAGGCGATCGCCAGGTTGGTAGGACATTCACCAATTTCATTGAATATCTCCCAATATTTGTTGTTGTATGACTTCAATGATTCCTGGTCACCCATGTTAATGGCCAACAGTTGTGATGTCCTGAGTTCCTTTAAAGTAATTTAAGTATATTAATTTGAAATTTCTGTCTCCTTTAATTGTCCTTGTTATAGTTGAACACTTTGAATCTCGTGTTGTTACCTATTCTTCTCCTTATGGTTGTTTATATACATCGTAGTGTGTTCTGTGGTGTCAATTTCCATCGTTGGGTGTTGGAGTGAATTCGGGAAGGTTGAGAATGCTCTAAGGTTGTTTGGTCTCACTTCTGAGTTAAGACCGCTCGAGTGGTCATGTCATTCTTACAGTTCTTGGTTCTAAAGTCTGAAATACTGGGAGTGTGACTTCACTACTCGAGCGAAGGTTTCACTACTCAAGTGATTTCTTTACATAGGAGAGAGATTCTCAGAATTTGAATTCATCGCTCAAGTGCAGGTTTCCTCGTTCGAGTGGTATATTTGAAGTCAGTTTTGAGATTTGTTTCCAATCACTTAAAACTTGAACCATATACTTTCTTGCCTTCACTTTTCACTTCACACTCTCTCTACCTTTCACTTTTCCCTATTTTCTCTTATCTCTCTCTAGACTACATCCACCAACCCTAAGAAATTCTTTGATCACTCCAAATCTATTGGATCTTTGACCATTGTGTCTTCAATAATATTGGAGAGCTCATCAAGGGCTACGTTGTGTGTGGCGGAGATCAGATTTTAACACCATCAATTTTGAAGCTTTTCTCGTATTTCTTTCTACAATTTCAAGCAGGGAGTTTTTTTGAGTTACATATATGATTTTAGCATGTCTTGCTTGTTTTAGGATGATTATCGAAATTGAGGGTTTGAGATTTGAAGTGTTGGGTTTTAGAAATGTTGAAAGAAATGATTTTCTTATGATATGGTTGAAAATAAATTGCTTTGTGAACTCATGAACATTTGGAAATATGTGGAGGAGGAATATCTTTGAAAAATGGAGGAAAAATCCTTTTTTGAATAAAACCCTAGTTTTTGGGAAATTTTTTTTGGAGAAAAATGGATTTTTTTGAAAGACTTATGAAATTATTAGAAATCTCTTCAAAGAAATAATGAATTTCCACAGGTCATTGTGTTGTTTGAGATATACGTGAAATGGATGAGTTGTTTCGTGAAATTATTAAATAGCATGAATTGTCTATGCTTGGACTGTGAATTAAAAATTAATATTGATTGTGAATATGAAATGATATCATATGTCACATAGGTATGGACTTTGGTTATGATTTGAGAAATGGAGGAATGTATCGAATGTCATATTGAACAAAAGTTGAGAATTGTAGAATGTTACAGTGAAGTTTTATAATTGCATCTTATTTCATTCATTTTGCATAACTTTGAATATTGTTTATTATGGCTATGCCTTGTGAATTGATTTATTGTTTTAGAAAACCATTGAAAATCTTGAAATATTTTGGGGTAAATACGTTTAATAAGTTTGGATAGGGGGTGTAGATAGTATTGTTTAAGTTGGCTTGAGTGTCCAGGATGAAAGACCGAAAACATGTGTGGATGAGATACCACGTGCCTTCCGATTAGAAGTCGGTAAAGTAGAGGATTGGTAGTGCTTGTTATGCCTACATGCAAACACCAACCTAAGAATTACCAGAGTCATATTTACCACCCTATATTTAAATTTTGGAATTTATTGAGAGAATGGAGTATCTTTAAAAGATCATTGCATATAATTTTCAAAGGAATAAAAGTTGTGATTTTGTAGCATGGGATGGTGTTGTGTTCATGTATATACGACTACTTAAACATATATACTTTGTGAAGATATTTCTACTGGGTTTTGTGCTCACTCCTAGTGGATTTGTGTAGGAAAGGGTGTAGTGATCCAGCCTAACTAAGGGCATGGGAAATCTTTGGAGAGCATGAGTCTCTTTCTTTTGTTAGTTCTTTTGACAAGCAAAGGGCTTTACTTTTGCGGGTTTGATAACCAATTTTCGTGTAACTAGGCCTAAGCCTTGGAACTTGTAACCAATGAGGCATTCTTTTGTTATTATTTTCTTCATTTTTAACTGTCTTACATACTATGGATTCAAACTTTAACGCTGTGTTTGGTTGAGGGATTTGGGAAGGGATTTGGAAAGGAAAATGGAAAAGGTGTGTGAAACTAGGTGAAATTTAAGTATATTTTAATCAAATTTCACCTACATTTTTCATTTTCCTTTCCAAATCCCTTCCCAAATCCCCCAACCAAACATAGCCTAAGAGGATTGAATATGTATTGCATGTGGAGCCCTTTTTGTAAATCCCTCATTTAAATGAAATACAAATATAGAGATTTGATCAATTGAGTTAAGTCTATTATGATTGATTGAATTAATTAGACCAATCTTGACATTATTTATTTAGGGGCATTACAGCAGTTGATCAACCTCCATAGGTATCTTAGTGTTTTTTTTTATTTTTTTTATTTTTTTGAATCAGGTAACAAATGCATTCGTAAATTGTGCTTAGGAAGCTATACTACCTTTAGGAAACCTCTCGAACCACGTCAAGCCTAAATCTCCTAGGCTTGACAGAAACAATATGCACATCAAGGCATTGTTTCTCCTATGAATAATCATGACTTGTCTAAAATGGCTAAGATGCATGTAAGGGTCCAACTTCCCATTATAGATAGGAAATTTTGGTTGGTTGAAACCCATGCGAAGTTGTGCATTCTCAATCTTCGATGTGAACGGCGTACTTTATAGCTTTGCCAGCACCTTATTTGATGGGTCATAAGCAACGCGTGGCACTGGCATCCCCACCTCGACGCTTCTATGCGTCTTAGGAGCTAAAATTAAATGCAAAACTGACACCCTTTAAGGATCATTCACTTATGCTACTTCCCTTCTTTGCTCCTTTTCCTTGAGAATAGACTGCAAGTCCTCCGGATAGTGGGAAGAAGTTTGATGTGTATGTGAAGAAGTTTGATGTGTATGTGAGGGTCGATAGCTACTCCCATCAGAGTATGATCTGTCTGACCTTGTCCTCTTAGACTTGGAATAACGCGATCGAGATCTTACTGTCCTTGATTGAGTCGCCTGTCCTAAGGCTTCTACTCTCAAAAGGTTCAGGTGTGGTGGGCCCATCCTAGCTTCCAGAGCGATGAGATTGAGTACACTTGGTGCGGGTTTCCATCCAGTGACACCTTTGCCCTTCACCTGACGCTTTAGAATCTTCATATCCATCGCCATCCTCCCGATTTTTTCATCTTGCTTCCTCACTCAATCTTCCAAAATGTGAGCATTAGTTCTTTGTTTTTGCCTTTCTGGGCTTCAGGTAAGGGCACAAACCATGCTTTTCTCACGTGCCTTTGTGGGGGGGTTTCTCCTTTGAGGATCGAGATCATCCATGGGCAGGACATAGGGAAAATCTTTGTGCCCTCTGTTAGCCTCTGGTGTTTCGCTATCGACAGCAGAGAATAGTGGATCTTCATTATTTTCCATAGAAGTTGTCTATGGAAGCTAAATAAAAAGGTTTGTTCTATGAAAAATTCCTACAAACAACACCAATTTTAGGAGCACAAAATATTCGGTACTTGTATAATTCTATTGATCAAGCTTGCACTCCTCTAAACATCATCGTATGGCCTAAAATCACAAAAACATGAGCTAGCTAACGGGTATGTGCCGAAGACCCCTTCGATGCCTAAGTTAGCGAATAGGATCAACAAGGAAAAAAAGCTCTGTGAATTCGAAAACTAAAATTGCAATACTTGATATTAGGTTAACTTTGAGCTTTTATAAGTTTCATATGGCCAACTCCTAGTAGGACTCTAATTCCTAATCCAAAAATCCCACAGGAATCATCTTTTTAAAGGATAATGCCCGTCCTTTAACACCATTGCTGGCAATCATCAAAAATAGTACAACTCTTTGCATGGATTTCAACTGAGCAACCGTACTACTTTTAACCTTGCTAGCACTTGAGACAAACGGGCAATGCGCAATGCCATGCAAACCGAACGCAGTGCGTCGCCATAAAAACGTTGCATGACACTTCATCTAGTTTGGTCAACACCATGCACCAAACTTCACTTAATCGTCTAATTATGTTCTTTGATAGCTTGGTCCAATCACACGTCTTGGACCAAGTTTGCCTGGTCAATCCAAGAAACACCTTTGACCGGTTTGAACTCCTTTGCATGGCCCAAGCCATGTAGTCTTCTAATCCATAGCACGACTGACAACAAGGGTCTAATTTAGCCCGACCTAGATATCACGGTATATAAAGCTCTATATGTAGAGCTCGCCAGCTCTTTTCAAAGGGTTGGAAAAAAAAACTTGCCCAAGGATAACAAGGCTTGAGAACTCTGTCCTTCATTCCTTGTCTCCCATCTACCACGTTCAACCTTAACACTAATTTCTCCATTAAAGCT